TATAGATTCGGCCTCTGTATCAATAATAATGTCTATTTCAATAAGATTTTCCAAAAAATATTTAATGTACAGATTCGGCTTAGTTACAATTTTATTATATGTATAGATGTAGCATAATATACATATATTTCTAAAAAACTGGTTTCTATTTATCATAAGCCTTCCACCATTTCGTCACTTTTATTTAAAGTAGGTATGTAAGTAATTCGCATTAACTAAAACTTTAGAGGAGTTCAGAAAAATGTACTTAATATTTAACCTTAATCTAGACAATATCTTGCGTCAATTGTCATAAATCTACATAAAAAACAACAATAGAATCGACTTTGTACTTTGTATATTTTTATTCAAAAACATACTAATATTTAAAATGCGAGTGTATGGATGTCTGGATGTATGTATACGGTTGTTACTCTTTCACGCTAAAACTACTGAACGGATTTTAATGAAACTTATAAATATATAAAAATATTATTTTTATAAAAAATATTATTTATAGAAAAATACAAGAATATAGCTCATATATCACATCAGAATCATATATCATAGGCTACTTTTTATCCCGGAAAAATATACGGTTCCCGCGGGATAGATTTGTTTTTGTTTTTCTTTAAAATGTATTATTTATGTATAAAATGTAGTGCATAATGTCTTCTTCGAAAATGACTATGACCGCGAATGTCATAAAAATGTAAATGTTTTTTATTACTCTAATTAGTTTGTTTCTTTGTCTTTTAATATTTGCTTCTTTGATTTAAGCTCAGAATATTTTTCTTATTATTCATTATGGTTATTTAATTAACTTGTTTTGTACATGAAGTTTCAGTTTGCTCGTAAAAACTTTTAACTTTATGTAACAGTTAAATTATTTTATACTCTAAAAGCTTATAGAAGATAAAAGACCACTGTTTTGTTTATATGACTCTTTAATTTTTTTTCTTTCATCTACATACATATGCACATATTGAATGATAACAAACGATCAATTTGCACTTGGAGTAAGCATGCTAACAGATAACAAAAAAAATATTGCCACACACCTTCGGAAATACATATTCACCTCCAATTTATTGCAGTGTCATGTTCACCTTATAGAATCAAAAGAGAATTACATCATATAGCACCTAGGCAATTAAAATATAAATAACTTCCTTCCTAAGTCCTGACCTTTTCGAACTGGTAGTAGAGTCATAGCTTTCTACTCTTTACGGTAGTATTTGATGATACTCATATCTCAAACATTTTTGTGTATAATATCATAGTATTCTGATATACCTATACGTTATATATTTATCAAAAATACTTAAGAGGAATATTTATATATTAGACAGTATAATGGTTTACATATTGATTTAGTCACTATAGAAATGAGGTCTTATTAGGCAATGCTTCATGGAGCCTTCATGGGAGTCTCAATGATTACATTAAACAATTTCAATTATTCGTTATGAAACTACTTAACGCAAATAAAATAAGTACCGGTTGGGTATTTGTTAACTTTTATCAGATATTCTTAATATTGATACTCTATTTGATCCGAAATGATTTCTCCATTCCAGTGTATGTTTTTTTCGTATTTGTCACACGATCTCTTCGTCTGGTCTACTGTGAACCGATTTTAATATTTATTTTATTAAATATGCCATAACAATGGTAGAACCAAATAAATTTTAAGAAAAAAAAACTAGTCCTCAGGAGGATTAATAAGTTTTAAAGTGATATTGAATCAGCGTTACACTCATAAAAAAAATATTATATTTGAAAAAAAAAACAAATTTGATATTTTTAAACGTTTTAGTTTATAACAGAAATTAATTAAAGTATTTTACTTTTAACAAAAATTAAGATAAAAGATAAGCGGACTTTGCTTTATAATTTAACTGATTTAATGTTCTCGTATGGCTCTACTATCTTGATGAGTATTTCGTAACCGTACCAGAATGGCCTGTTTTACGTAAAACCACTTGACTGTAAGTTGAAATCTTCTGTGGCTTACAAATATGCCTAATATTGTGTAAAATGTATGTGGTTACCAAATGGAGATATGTACTACGATCAAGATGCTCAGCCTTTAATAATTTTAGAACATCTTATTTTATTTCTTTACAAAATAAGAATTAATGATTACATCTCAGCAACTCAAAAACCAAAGTCGACCACTTGCCATTGCCCATGTGTTACTCAAAACAATGGCTTATCTCTACACTAAATTTCGTCCAAACCTATCCAGCCGATGTAGCTCACGTATTCACTTGCTTAAAACTTTCGCATTTATAATAGTTATGGTCCAATTAATACTGAGAAATCTTATAATACTGACATCAGAACATATAAAGGCAGCTAAGAAGAATACAAAATATTAATCTTTTGGAAAATAAAATATTAAGATTCATAGATAAGGCTGCAGGGAAAGATGGAGTCATAGAGCCACGCATATTATTTTAGAATAATATCAATTTTTTTGTACTTAATAGGTATACATTTTACTAATTACCTGCAGTTATATTTTAAACTGTCGTACCTGTACCTATATATATATATATATATATATATATATATATATATATATATATATATATGTATATGTAGGTTTCGGTGTAAACGTTGTCACATTATTTCAATAAAATATGTAGGTACCTATGCATAAAGGCGAAATTGTCACTATTGTACTCGTAGCAAATTCAATTATATATGAAGGTAACCAATAGCTTCTACAGTATTTAGAAGAAAGACAGACAGACAGACAAGGTAATTGCAATTGTTATTACTAATAGAAACACAAATTATAAGGTGGATGGACCATGGAAGGCCACTCTAACAAATAAACAGTTATCATTCTTTTATTTATTGGTTATTTATCAAACAAACAAATTATCAAACTTTTTCTATTAAGTAACTTATAAATTTTAACTGTGCACAGTTAATTATTAATTTTTCAATTTAAGTTTTATTGAACTCTTCCAAAATGGCCTTGCAAGGAACAAGGCTCCATACAAGGCCGATATAATAACTCAATCGTTTAACTTAAAACTAACATTGAGACAATCAAAATATCTAGTTATCCTTAATCTTAATGAAAATCTCTTTCTTTAAAATGAAACTTTATATACATATCATAATATATTCACTTAAAAAAACAGTCAACGAACCTAACTTAAACACTATCGTAAAACTAAGAATGTATTTGTGAAAATGTGTTGAAAATATTTTAATACCCATTTAATAATAATCTTTTTAATGAAATCAAAAAAAAAAAACCGACTATAATGAACATATTATAGGTCTGTTACTTGTAAGGCCAAAATTATTTAAAGCATGATTATAAGCACTAATATTACGAACTTATACACTGTTTTACCTTTCCCGATACGTATTTACAACTAAAAACTAAGTTTTTACTTTTTGGTGATTCTTAAAAGTTCCTAACAAGGTCCTTGTGCCCTAGAAAGGCCAACTGGCAATTTTTCGGCCTTACAAGGAACCCTAGGCTTTCCTAGGAACACTACCGATATCTTAACTACAATTGAATTTTTAAGCCGATATTATTATTAGCTATAGCCATTATAGAAAGTCATCTCGTTTAAGTCCTCGGACCGGTCTTGCAGCTTCTAGTTGAAAGGGGCTACAAAACAGCCATAGCTTACCGTATTTACTAACATTCCAACTGCATTTTCGAAACTGGATAAGCGAAATTTTATTTATTTGTAGTAATGACTTATTACGTAGTCGTTACTACTTTACGCATGCATAGTTTTAAAATACACATTACTGTAAATGACTTGAACAAAAAGAAGAGAAACCAATAATAAATTGGTCATGTTCGAGTCAGACTCGCGCAGCGAGAGTTCCGTACCAACACAACATATTTGTGGTACATAACGGTAGTCTACCGATAACATAAGTTCTTATATTAATGAATAGTTGAGGCCCCTAACGCGGGGCGCGCGAAATAATATATATATATATATATATATATATATATATATATATATAATTTGTTACTCCTTTTTAGGGAGGTACCCGCTGTAGAAGTAGTTTTCTGCGAAATTTTCAAGCTATTAGCTATTTCGATTTCCAAAGATACAGCTATTTAAAAGTTGAACCGACAGTCCGTCGAATGAACAGACGGAAAGTGTAACTTACATTGCCGACTGTACCCTTTTTGTACGGAACCCTAAAAAATATATAAAACAGGTGTAAATGGATTTAAAAAAAGTATTGATATTAAATGAATTATGAAATAAAATATAAGTATATATAATTCTTACGAAATAGAATTCAGACAATACAATACTTTAGCAGTCCGTTCTCTATAAATTTGCACTAGGGTTTTCACCCTTATTCAGTATAAGGTCCTAAATATGGTGCGAACTGCGAAAACCCAACTCGCACTTGATCGATTCTTTTATAAACATCAATTTGGATGAATGAGTTAGCATTATCTTCGCTGTCCAGCCAAGTGTACAGGTTGTTGGCCTATACGAAGCTTATTTAAAAAAATGTAGGCATGCAACTAATGAGTTTTCTGGTTAAATTTTATTTGTCATGGTGTAGAAGCAAATATTTATTAAGAAATACAGATAGTGTGTGTATTGTTTTATTGGTGTAGTTGCCAGCATGTACGGTTGCAGATCCGGGGATTCAAGTTCTAGGTCGGGCGAAGTATAGTTCTTAAGATTTTCTATTAAGAAATTCTTAGTTGGGACGTGGGCCGGTGATACACCACCGTGTCTTAAAGAACACGTAAAGCCGTTAGTCTTGCACCTATCTCTTACCGCACATGGGTAGTCTTAGTATGATTAGTTGCTATGACCGATTAGGTTAGAGATCATTTATATATTATTGGCAGTAAACGTAAAACAAAGAAGTGACATCATAAAATGAAAATAATTGTTTACTCATATTTATTAAAATTGAATATGCAAATATGATAGAAAGAGCAAAATAAATACGAATATTAACTGTCAAGGTTTCAATTATGCTTTTGAACTTATAGTGAAATGGCATCAGAAGTGAACGAGTGGTACAGGGGGAGGAAGGTGTTGGTAACCGGTGCTTCAGGGCTGATGGGGAAGGTCTTGATCGAGAAGCTTCTATACAGCGTGCCGGACATAGGGTGCGTGTACGCGCTCGTGCGGAGCAAACGTGGGAAATCACCTGAATCGCGGATAGAGGATATGTGGAAACTACCTGTGAGTACGAGAATGTTGTGTAATATTCTATTAATTTAAATCATATAAAACTAGTTTTAATACATACTTTTTGGTAGATATCACAATTATTTTCCTAGTTATATGAGAAAAAAATATAACTCTATACTATTTAAATAAAGCTTTAGTAATAAGAACGAATGTGTTCCTCACATGGGAATTGGACATGAGCCATTGTGTTACCACAAAATGGCGATTAAGAAACAATTTTGCTACAATTATAAAGTCATATTTTTAAATTTCAGTTATTCTCTAGAATAAGAGAAGAGAAACCACATGTCATGAAGAAGCTTGTACCAGTTGTCGGTGATATATTATTTGATAACCTGGGAATAGAAAAAAAGCAACTGGAAGAAATTTATAATGAGGTTTGTTTGATATTTCGTTAGACTTCATTCTCTACTTTGCCACATAACGCACGTAATAGTGACACATTGTTCTTTATCCACATGCATATATCTAACTTGTTCGGCGACTAATAGACTGATTATAAACGATACATAGTACTACTAGATACGAATTTGAAGATATTTTCAGAATATTACCTTTAACAGTAATAAGCAGTAAGCACCTACTAAGCGCTTTAGTTGAAAAATCAACTATAATTTGTAATAGCATGCGAGGTCAAGACAAGTTTCTAATTTAAAATATATATTTGGATCCTTGAATTGTTTGCTTCCACGTGAAAGCGGTTACGCAGAAATCTAAGCGGTCGAGAAACATAGGCACGTTCACAGAAATCATTTATGTAATGTACTTATGCGATATACTTTACATATATAACATTACCATAATGTTAGTGTACTTCTGTTTTAATGTATTTTCATGTTTACTCATTCAGAAGTGATCTACTACATACCTAGTACGCATGACGCATGATGATATAACAATATAATATATCTAAATTCTAATAATAAATGAATATTTATTGTTTAATATTATACATTTTATACCCTGACTAAAATTAATATAATAAATAAAATTAGTTATTTGACGACAAGTTTGGTTAGTTTGTAGTTACCCTACTTGATGTGCCAGCGGTCGCGGGTTCGAGTCCCGCTGGGGGCATTCATTTGTGTGATGAGCACGAATTTTTGTATTGTATTGTTGTTTGTATTCCAGTCATGGGTGTTTACATTTATAATATGTATGTATTTAAAGTTATATATGTGTAGTGTATCAACTGTCTGGTATCCATAACACAAGCCTCCTAGCTTAAAATGGTACTAGATGGTGCTATGGGTTAACGTCCCAACATATTTATTATTATTTAATACCCATCGGATATTAATGCAAGTAAAACTATTAAATGACTCGCGACTACTTTAAACAATTTTAAGTTTAGTTTTACTAAATTTTCCAGGTCTCAATAGTATTTCACTTCGCAGCCACTCTTCGCTTAGAAGCTCCTCTAAAAGAAGGCTTAGAGATGAACACCAAAGGAACGCTTCGGGTACTGGAAATAGCCAAAAAAATGAACAAACTCGTATCTTTCGTACATCTATCTACCGCTTTTTGCTATCCAGATTATGAAAGGATGGCTGAAAAGGTATTTTTTTTATTTTGACATGAATTACAGCCATGTATCTTCATTGAACTAAGTCAAATAGTATAATTAATAAGTGATAATATGAATCCAAATGTAAATAATTTTTACTTTTTCTCTTGACATTTGGTTTTTCTTTGACTTTAGAGCAATTAATTTACCTCCTTCATGCTTACCTTCATACCTTCTTTAGCTTGCTATACTTATACTTCAATCATAGCTATCAATATCAGGGATATGATACTAACTTTGAACCATTCATAAACATAGTATTTTATTTTCAAATTCTTAAATAAAATGTATTCAAGAATATTTTTATACGTTGTTATGTTATTGTGATAAATGTACAAAATATTTTATCTATCATAATAAAAAAAATATATGTAAAATATTTATTCCAACTTATAAGCCTGCTAATAGATTTTTCAAAATAAATAGAACTCTCAGTTAAAAAAAATTACGGCCGATCCAAGCTAAAAATATGATATTACAAAAAAATCATTAATAATGTATCAATCGATTAATATGTTTAATAGTATAGAATTACGCTTATCAGGTCCACGATCCACCAGCCAACCCGCACCAAGTGCTGAGTGCCGCGAGCTGGCTCTCCGATGAACAGCTCAACCTGTTAGCGCCCTCCATGATGCAGAAACACCCAAACTCGTACACATATTCGAAACGGTTAGCTGAAGCTCTTGTAAAGGAGAGCTACCCTGTATTACCGACAGTTGTTGTACGGCCGAGTATAGGTATGTGTTTGTGTAATAATAGAAGTTGGTATCTTTTATTTTATTTTCATTATACTTGTTTGTTATGATCATTCATCGATGGTGAATGTTAATTAGGATTAGCAATGATGTTATTTGATCAAGGCTGAGTATATTTCGAAAATATAGTTTTATAATATATGTATATTTTGTTAACTGCCTCGGTGGTGTAGTGGCTAGCATGTACGGCTGCACACCCGGAGGTCCTGGGTTCGAGTCGCTGGTCGGGCCAAGTTCAATTATTGAGTCTTCCTGTATAGTAAGTCTCAGTAACAGCCGTATAGAGAGTGCACTTGTGTCTGCGCGTACACTTGAGCACTATAATATCTCCTGCGCAGTTGGCTAGTCTCAATAAGATTGGCCGCCGTGGCCGGAATCGGCTAGGAGAACATCATCATCATATTTTGTTAATTACGTTTCTTAGGTCTAGTAGCACTAGGATTGGGATTCTTTATATGAGCACGTTACATTACATTTATTTAACATTTATTCTGTTTAAGATTGTCTTGGGAGAAATATTCTTGCAATATATTGTCTCACAGATGTTATATATATCGTAAACTACAAATAATTATCGTATAAAACTATATATTGTTAATTTTAACTAATTAATCGCTTATGTATTATTAAGGTAATCAAAATTAAAAAAAATAAATACAAGATTTTTTTAGCTAGCTAAATAATAATAAATCAATCTAATTAGACTAACATTACGTATAAACTAAATCTAATATTTTGTTTAAAATTCTCTACTTTCAGTAACTCCTGCCTACAAGGAGCCGACTCCAGGCTGGGTGGATAATCTTAATGGACCCATAGGATTAATGATCGGTGCAGGTAAAGGGGTCATCAGAAGCATGCATTGTTACGGTCACTACCACGCGGAAGTAATCCCCGTGGATATCGCTATCAATGCCATTATTCTTATCCCTTTCTACATTAACACGAAGATTGAAAGGTATTTTACGTATCATATTATAATAAATACTCATTAACTTTTAAATAACTTTTAAATTAATTATTTCACCATTCACGTTGGAAAAATCTTCTTGAAATTTCTATTTTATAGGGACACCGCTGGGATAAAACTTATTTTCAATTGGTTATATTTGGATATAGATTAACATATAGTTTATCATATTTTTCAATATCTTAAAAATATTATACTAAACGTCAGGTATTTTAATTAATTGTAATTGTTCAATAATTAATTTATACAAGTTCATATATTTATTTAGTAAAATTTATTATCAATAAAGGAATATTACAATAATGATTATGTTTATTTTGATATTACAGACCAGTAGACATACCAGTTTTCAATCTAACATCAGGTGATGATCGAGATACAACATGGAAGGAAGTTTTGGACGTAGGAAAGGCAACAGTCCGCAAATTTCCATTCGAAGGACCACTGTGGTATCCAAACGGAAACATCAGACATAATAAACTAATACACGAACTCTGTGTATTCTTCTACCATATAATTCCCGCCTATCTTATTGACTTTTTAATGCTTATCTTTGGTCAAAAAAGATTGTAAGTATTTATTTATAAATTAGCCTTATATTGCACGAGACACAAACTTTACATTGTTCTTCGCATTCACATTTCACACGTATTAAGTCTTAAGTTTCATTGATCTTTGCCCATCTTAACTATAGCAGAACGACTGCATCACACAGAGGCCATCCTTATTTCCTAAAACAAAATACACTTTGCTATAGTATTCGCATTTTTATTATGGTATACCTATTTAGTTTTTTATAATGGTTTAATTTTATCATGCATCCATTTATAATTTCAGTATGGTGCGCATACAGAATCGGATTTCAGTTGGTTTAGAGGTGCTTCAGTACTTTACTACGCGGGAATGGTGGTTTGATACCCATAACTTTAAAGCGTTATCAACTAAACTGAACCTAACCGATTTTGCCACTTTTCCTATGAATCTAGCAATAATTGAAGTCGGTCCTTATATTGAGACCTGTATGATAGGCGGAAAATTATTCTGTCTTAAGGAGAAATTGGAAAATCTACCAAAGGCAAGGTTCCAAAATAATATGTGAGTATAATATGGTACTTTGAGTATATAAAAGTATATAATATATATTCAAATATATAACGTCTTATAAGGTCGCACGCATTTACCCATATTTACTTTTCTTCATTTCCATGAATCAAATTTACTTTTTCGGACTAATACATCAAAAACTGAAATTTGGGCACTATATTTTTGTTATAATACGGGTAAAAAATATTTTTTGTAACACATAATTTTCTTTCCCACGTGTGTATGGAAAATAGTAATACTAGTTGACTAAACAAAAACTTCACAGACAGAGCCAGGTGCATGAAATAATCAAAAACGTAAAACCATAAGTAACAGACAGTTACAAGTTACTAATGAATGTAGTAAAATATTTTCTAACAACGCAATTAATCATATAATTAACCTGTTTTAAAAATAGTTCGATACGAATTGTATATATAACCTAATTAGTAAAGCAGATAAATAAGTATTATATGTAGGTTTTCTATCTCACAGTGATATGTGTGCTATTTATTATATCTTTATAATTTGCTTTACAGATTATTCCTTCTGGATCTCCTGGTGTCCATATTTTTTTATTTGCTGTTGATATATTGGATGGTTCTGCTGTTCGAACCTCTGCGTCAATTATTATCGTACGGCGGTCCTTTTGTAAAATTTTTACCATTAGTTGGGAAAGCTGTTTTCAAAGAACAGGATTAACGAATATTATGTAGACAAAATCTCATCATGAGTTAATGAAAAAACAATGGGTCTAATTGTGTTAATAAATCAATTTCCAGCTTACATAATAATATTGAAAATTTATTACTCACTCAAAAATTACATAGTTGGTATATGTTTATTTAAGTACACTTGGACTTATCAAGAAAACAGTATAATATAATAAAGCTTCTAGAGCTGACATAAAAGACATCTAGATTATAGGAGCACAAAGATCAATTTTGGGGTTATCAGGCAAATGTAAATAGCACTTATCATTTAAATGTATTTTAAACGGAACTTAATAAAACAAAGTAAAGTTATTGATCGCTCAGAATTTTAGTATTCAGTAAAATAGCAGAGTAACTTAATTAAACATCAATGAGTCACATGGGATAAGTAAACAACTAAGAAAATTATATGGCATTGAATAAATATTTAAAAATTATATATTATTGTGAAGAGGTTTTATACGTTATGGCACTAACAAATAAACATATTATGTTATGTTTAAATGGAAACTTCGAAATCGTACAATAACATTAGTGTGTAAAATAGGTTATGATATAATGGTTAATCAATTTTTAGATACACAAGGAATATAAGGAAGTATTAGTAATTATGGTCGTAATAATTTTAAGAGAAAATAAAGAATTATTTTATACTAAGTGTTGTCCTATTATTTAATTTTACATTTTCTAACAAGATTATGTAGCATTTATATATGTACATACATCTCATAGCAATATAGCACCTTGTGTTTGACTGTATTATGGTTTAAAAACTGTATACCTCAATATGGAATTTAAACAACGAGAACAATGTTTTGAACAGAAACTAGAAAGAACTAGAAAGAACATATTAGTGTGACTACACTCTCGTCAAGAAAATACGAGTCATGCTGAGTGTGAAAATGGACTTGTTAGTGATCGTCTCGCCTTGGTATACCTCAGAGACCCACGCTTGCTTTCGATTCCATGTTAGTTTTTTCGCTCGAGTGAGCAAATCCCTACACTCTCTCGCTTAAGTTTAGCGCAAACATTCTAAACGTGAAGAGTTGTTAAAATATAGAAACATGTAAAATAATTAGAGTGTACTAACTTACACAGTACGCCCTACTTAATATACTACACTAGCGTATAAGACTTTCGCGAGAAGGCTTTCCGTGAGATATGCCTGGAGAACTTCTTTAGGACTGTTCCCTTTATATGCTGGTACTTTAAAGAACTCTATGTCAACCTATATCGGAATGGGAAACATAGATGAATATAACATATAAAATCTTTACCTTAAGCGAGAATCAAGTGGAAGAAAATTGCTATATCAACTTTTCTGTGTGTAAAATTTATAAAGACGAATATTATTATTTATTAAAGAAAAACAAACATTTTATAATACGCCCACAACTTCCACAATATGAATAAGAACCAATCTATATCTAAATTACCTATTATTTGAAGATTGTTCAAATGAATGAGTTCACATACTCATGTATCGAAATCGGTTAATTCAACTTTATAATAGTTTTAATTCAACAGATTTGACGAGTAATATATGTGTGATTAAGGTCTATGTACGATTTGTTGTGTTTAAGTGTGTTATTCAACAAAAGTCACAAATTCGTTTCCTGACCAAAGCATTTAAGTATACTAGAAGAAAAGACTGAAGTGTAACTAGATTATATTTGAACCCTTAAATGTTATGAAGCCAACACTAAAACATCTGGGAAGTGGGTTTTAACTTGTAAACTAAATATTTTTCAAAAGTGACTGAAAGGTTTTAATATTGTAAAAATATTGAGGACGGATTCTTGTTAAATTATCTATAATAATTATATTAAATGCCATGCGCTACACTACTCGCTATTCATCACGCCTCATGCTGGTGGCGGCTTTCCCGTGAACACATCACCAAACCTTAGGATGAAGTCGTTACGAAGAAGATCTATTTCATGTTCGCAAATAAAGAATAAAAGTCGATCGCAGCCGATGTCGTTGAGACTTCCATTGTAAAACATAGAACCACACATCTCCTGCCCTTTACCGTCGGGTTGACCTCCTCCCCATTTACTATATCCGCTGTCCTCTAACGGCATATCTGTAATAGAGCGTGTTTGTGTGCATTTATCTGTGATTTAGTTTAATATTCTAGAACATCCAAATGAATTTTATTTAAATCGGTCCAATAATTTCGGAAATTAGCCCGTACAAACAGACAAACAGACAGAGAAACAAAGAAATTGGAAAAAAACTGGATTTGTTCTATTGCTCTTCTTATATCCCCCTGACTGAGATTTTAGCATTTTTTTTCTATGTACAGATATTCGACCTCTACTGTTTTATTATAGTTATAGATTAATACTTGAAAGATTAAAATAAAATATGGTGATACATTTTTATTTTTAAAGGCTCACACAAAAGACGTACAGCATAAAATGCTTATTGAAACCTATCTAGTCATCTCAAATGATGTATTTTTCAAAAATCGGAAAAAAAATATTCTAAGAGCTGTAGATATTGCTTCTATTATTATTAATAAAGTACACTCAATATGAAAGAGAGTATACACCATCCGTTATAACAGTATTATCCGTTTCTATAATAAAACAGAATTTCCATGTACAGAAAATTTCAGTCGTTATTTAAAAAAATCAATGGAAAATATGGGTAAATTACATGTAATAGGTCGAACATCAAGCTATATTACCTTAAAGGCAGCAAATACGGAAAATCCTATTTAAAATTCACATTCTTGTTACATTGCACACAACTAAATTTAATTTAATTTGAAGTCATGATGGGTTTTACTGCTTTCTAATAAAGAATATTTGATGAAAATTGGACAAAGTTCTAGAAAGGTGAGATCCCCTCAATATGGGGACGTGACAATGGTGTATTATTGCAAATTAAACGGTTAAAAAACAAAAAATTCAAGACTAATATAAATTACGGCTAGGGTTTTTGATACATAGAAAAAAGTACTTACTATTAATTATAGTTTGCCATTTGTTTTTTCTTAATCTGAATCCTAAATGCACAGCTCCTCGCAAAAAATCTCCTTGTACTTCATGTTTTTTAGCTTTTTCTGTTAACTCCTTTAAATAATCTGCCTCGGCTTGTGAGTTAATTACAGCTAAATAAGAAAGTTCAGTGTTACACGTAGCGTAGGCGTCAGTCCAATTAGAAGGTGTCAGGTGGAACTTATAACATCTGCCGAGGTTTTTATTATATTCGTAACCTGAAAATCAAATGTACATACATATAAAATACTAATTCAATAAAAAAATATTAAGATATACAGATTTTTATTATATATTTCTAAATAAATAGTAAAAGTTGTAGCCACGTACGTCTATTGGCAGAGATTTATGTCTCTACTTTTGCCTTCACGTATGTACTCGTACATAGAGTGCGAGAAAAGGCGTCTGTACTAACTATTAAGAGTGAGTTGATTCATCCCGCGTCAATCGCTCACAGACAGGGGTGACACGTGATACGCGCTAAAGATATTTTGTAAGATTGACTTATAAAATTGAAATTATTTAAACTTAATTACAAAATAGCATTTTCATGACAGAGATAGAAAGTGAATTTTCAATATGAGTGAGCGAGATATTACAATGTTTTGTTATTAAAAACATTGCGTTACCATGGCAACGATGCCATAATTAAGCAGATCATGATGTCATGGCCATATTTAGATGAGACAGGACGCATGAATGATTTCAATTTTATCACAGGTTAGTGAAAATTTGCATTGACTACTTAGATGCTTATCCAAGTCAGATAAAATGCTATCCAGACTATCCCACGACGGAAAAAAGGATACCGCAGAGTTTGTTACAGTTATAAATGTTTCTACTATTTATTCCCATACCACCTGCACGGGAAACAGGTAAGGTACTTGTACGTTAAATTATTTCTCAGTTAAAAACAACTAAGGTTATATATATTTTACATATATATATATATATATATATATATATATATATATATATATATATAAATAATTATAATTTATATTAAATATCTGCGTTTTAAACATAAACTATATAAGTATATATACACTATGTAAGTAGTAGATAAGTATTACACTAAATAAAGAGGATTATGAAAAATCAAATTATCGAATTTATCGAAATTCTTAGAATTAATAATATATTTGCTAATAAGCGTTTTAACATATATATATATATATATATATATATATATATATATATATATATATATATATATATGTAAAATATGTAAACATGCAGGCGATATATATCGTGTGACATGCATCTAATGAGTAATATTATAAATGTGAAAGTTTGTGAACATGTATGGATGTTTGTTACTCTTTCACGCCAGAACGGCTGCACGGATCTGGATGAAATTTGGCACAGAGATAGATTATAGTCTGGTATAGCAATATTACTATTTATTCCGGAAAAATGTACGGTTCCCTGGGGAATTGTTTTTGAATAATAATAGATTTGTTTTTGTCTAGGTACGAATCTGAAGTAAAGCGAGTATGAGTCGCTAGTAATATATAAAGATAATTCTATCATATATTTCGTATCGTACTTGTAAAATAAAAGGATTAACTAAACATTATGTAAGTTAGAAAAACAAAATATCTCACTCATGTCTGGTATATCGCAATAGACGTTCCATTCAAGCGTACTCAAAGTCTTCTTGCATATGAATGGATATTTGCGTTCACAGTTGTCATCATTTAGTGTACCATCTCTTCTCAGTATTACACATCCCTCTTCTCCACCAGCATCGTTAGGCTCACCAGGACCCCATCTATTGTAAACATTCGTTATCGGCACACCTAAAACACTGATTGAATTAACTTATTTGTATTTAAAATTACATTACACAGTCATGCACACTTACATACTTAGTTTTTTATTAAAATTGATAGTAGATTTTAAAACTCAATATATCTTAATATATATAATTCTTCTGTACGTGTGTATGTAACCTAACTCCTAAACTCCGTGTATATTTCAACGAGTTCCTGGATGGTTTGAAAACACAATTGAACCCGGTAGGTGGCGCTTCTGTGGGTGTGTCACCAAATTTTCATGAAATACTACATTTTTCGTATAAATACATTTAAATTGTTGATTAAATAAAATAAAAATCGATGTGTGTGTATGTTATCTATAGACTCTGAAACAGCAGGAGCGATTTTAATGAAATTTTCAGTTAATCTTCAGCCCAGCGGGTGAATCTGTGAAATTTCTTAGCGATCAGAAGTTTCGACGTAGGCGAAGCCGCGGGTAGTGCTAGTTTATATATTATATGTAATAAATTATACGAATTATAATTTGTCCATTATGTCAAAGCAACAGGTTCGCTCGCGCTAAAATCTGATATACTATTGTTTTATTTATTACTAGCGACTCACCCTCGCTTCGCTCGGGTTCGTCTCTAGATACGTTTAAACGGAAAGTATAGAAAACGCTATATATATATACATATATGTACAATGTACATACATAGGTATAGAAAATTAGGTAAGTATTATAAAAAATAAAAAAATATATATCCCTTCCTTGAGAAATGATTGATTCAGTACTTTATGCGTGAAACGCGCACATCGATTCGACTAAGTTAGTTTTATTATAGGTATAGATAAAAATAGATATTGCGAGTGTATATATATATATATATATCTTATATACTATTCAGAACTTATTTCTAGACCTTTTCAAGACCTACAATTTTTTAGCACATTGTGTTGATGTACGTCTTAAGGTTTAGCCAGCGGAGGGTTTCTAAGGAGGACTCAATAAAACCAGTTATTGTGTTTTCCCGTGGGAAAGAAAGATGTTCTTGAAGTAAAAGGTATCCTAAATGTTGACTCGAGTAATAAGTTATCACTTCACCAAATTTCGTTGAAATCGGTTCAATACTTTTTGCGTGAAACGCGCACACACAAACAGACAAATAGACATACAGGCAAACAGACAAAAATTTAATAACTATTGTTTTGAGGTCTATATTGTGTACATAATACGTTACAGTCATTGTTTTCAAAAAATATCTCATGTACAGATTTTGCTAATATACTTAGTATAGATAGATACTTAGATAATTATCTAACTTGCTAATATTTTGATCTAATATTTATCAATTAGTAGATCAAAATATTATCAAGCTTCTCGTGACGAGGCACACATTACATGAACTTTGCGCTATGTAAGCTTTTAAAGTTTAAGCTTAATTACGTAGAGCTTATAGACCTTAGTGATTAGAAGTATCTGAACTTTCAAGGACTATAAATCGTTATTAGATTTTACCAACAATCTTCTACAAATTAATATCTTTGCATACGGAAAACGTACATCGTTTTTGTGTGTGATAAAAAGATCATACAGATTTTTTGCGTATAACTCGAAAACTTACTTGATTGATGAACACTTGTTTTCTTTATAAATAATATAATAATAGAACTCTTAAGTATAATTTATATGTCGTGGATAATTTTTTTTAAGCGAACGTAATTTATAAATATAATAAAACTGTAGAGGTCGAATGTCTGTTCATAGAAAAAAATCAAAAAACCTAGTCAGGGGGACGTAAGAAGAGAAATGGAGCAAATCGAGATTTTTTTCAATTGTTTTATTTTTTCCGTCTGATTGTCCATTTGTCTATTTGCCAGTTTGTACGGGCTAATCTCCGAAATTGTTGGAATGATTTAAAAGAAATTTTGCATGGTGGTACCTTATATCCCCGGTCGACATTTTAGATACTTTTCATCCCGGATAATTAAAGAGTTCCCGTGGGATTGTTAAAAAATGAACGGTTCCCGTGGGATAGATCTATATGTGCTTATGTGCTAGAGGCAAACTCGAGCGAAGCGAGGGCGAGCCGCTAGTTGAAAATATAGATAGCATTGAATTGATCAAAGCTTTTGCTGGTGTATTAGGTAACTCGAGTTATATTTTACAAAAAAAATTTTTGTACGAAAACTCAAAAAACTGCTAAAGCTATATTATATATACATATCAGGACCCAAAAAATTGATCAACTCATAATTGTTTCAATGTATGGGTCTGGTAAAAAAGGATTTTTGAAAGCAAAAAGCTAAAGAATAAAATAAAAAGTTAGCAAACACATTGTATAATATATGTATAGAAAAATGTCTTTACTTGACTCTTCATTCTGCCAGTGAATTTCCCCTTTTTTATTTTAAGAATACAAGTACTTATATATAAACCTATACTTGTGTATTCGTAAATTATATAACTGCTATATAAAAAATATATAATATTTTTAATTGTGCTACTGTTTTCTGCACGATATATTATGATACAGACATAATGTAAACATAATAATAACTATAATGATATGCACCTATAAAGCTGCTTGACGTAATCCCTAATTTTGGTGATGATTATCCTCTACTGGACCAAGTGGTTTAAAATATTCCTTAAATAACATATACATATTACATATAGGTAATCGCTAAAATTGGATATTTTGAAATTAACGTTTGGTTGTTTAGTATTTGAATTAACGGGATTAGAAAGAGGAGGTAAAAGTATGAGTAACAATATTTTTTAGGTTTTATAATTATTTTATTTTGTTTTTATTTTTTTTGAATTTATAATAAAAAAGCAGCCAAGTGCAGACGGCAGGTTAATAGAAAATAATAAAGTTATGTATGAATATATTACTAGGCTTGGTAAAGCCTATATATAATAGCCAAGTGACTTTTATTTATTACTAGCAGCTCAAAATGCATTTACACACGAGGTGTGGGACTCACCGGCAAAGCCAGTACTACCCACTAAAACCCAACAAAACCTTCCCCCGTCTCAATGGGGCGTCGCAGAATCGCTTACGCATTCAACTACGACACCCCGACGGCAGGTCTGCCGAAACAGACCACAACAACCATGGGGTTGCTCCAAGGTCCACTCTGCTATCAGAGAATTACCAGGAACAACCCACATGGTACACCGCCTTCCGAAGAGGGCCACCTCCCACCGCCCACCGAAGTTGGCCACCTCCCTGTGCGTTTCTTGGCTTCGCGCCCGGCTGTATTGCCGGGCACTACTGAGCCCCTCCACCACGACAAGGTGAACCCACGTTGAGGGGGACTAGCCGCTCACCCTAGCTTCGATCGGGTTCGCCCCTAGGTACGTTTTAACGGTTAGTATGAAATAGATAGACTATATATTATAAATTCTGAGCTTAAATCACTGAAACATATTATAAACATTAGTTTTACGAGTATAATAATGTGTTGAACTCTGCCCGATTTGAAATTTACACATTTTGATTTGATTTTGACATTTATGATTACTGCTTCTCTCCCTTAGGTAGTAACATGATGTTATATAGCCTATAGCCTTCCTCAATAAGTGGGCTAATAAATGCAAAAAGATTTTTTTAAATCAGATTAATAGTTCTTGAGATTAGCGCGTTTAACCAAACAAACAGACAAACTGCCTCTTTATAATATTCAGTATAGATTAATTAATATTATTATTATAATTGTGATATAATTGTTTTCAATATTGTAATATAATATAAACATTTAGATATGATATGCTTCGAAACTAAATGGTAGCGTCCGGTTTGTGTATATTTGACCTCTAAAAATGTAGCTTAATTTATGAATTCTTTAGAATTTAATGTGTCTTAGTATTTTTACATAAAATGCTTGAATATTTAATCGTTCCGTTATTATTATCTATGTCTAAATATGAAATTAACAAAAATTTATTAGACAACTCACCGTCTACAGTTTCAAACACTTGTTTAACATTAGGAGTCGATATTCCAATAAAAACCCAACTGAATGGTTGCGTATTGTTCCAAAAGTTTAAGACAATGTTGGCCTCATCATCATCATTAGGGTAGAAAAGCAACGCCCCTTCTTTAGAGCAGGCCTCTTTAGCATCTTCCCATGTTCTGTGAATCGTATGGATTTTATAGAACGCTTGCGCATCTTCCATGTATTTGTAGTCTTTCCGGAAAAACTTCATCTCACGTTGGCAATCTTAAATTATAATTATAAATCTTTTTATTACGTACCGAATCGAATAATACATAATATACCACAATAAATACTTAACATGCATTTTTTCTAAAACAAAGGATTTATGGAACATTTTATTCTTAATTTTTATAGCAATACTTATTTAAATTTGTTTAATAATAAACTTTTAAGCAACTTACACGTGAATTGAATAACATATTGCACGATAAACACAACAAGAAAATATTTTAAAGAAATCATTATATACGTTTCGCACTAGCGCATGCGCGAAAGACGCACAACTAATGACTGGTCTGTAGTGAACTAAGATTCACTTCATATCGAGAGATCAACAGGAAATATAAACTCGAATACTCGTTCTTTAACACGATATACGTGTAAATAAATACATATTATATCATGAACTAACGTCAAAATTTAGATATATGTATACAAATATATTAATATAGGTACAATAAAAATGAACAGCAAATGATCAAAGACCCGGATGTCAGGCATCAGCTACGTAGTAAGATTTTTTTAATTTCGACATATTATTAAATTTGTTTTTTAAATCCTTAAATCTATAGTACGTGGAATATACAGAAGAGGGTATACTGTTCTATATTCATATGTTCAATTGATTTTATCAAATTAAATTCTTTGATATCTACCTATGTTAGTTACTTTAAAGTTTAACCATACATCCTGCGTTTTTCAACGTTTTAAGTAATTTTATAGTTTTGTGTACTAAATTTCTTACGTCATTTATTGATAAGTTAAGACTTACGAAGTTATGTTACACTAAAATGATATTAAAGCACAAACTATTATCCCATGAGATCACATAACCGTGGATAACCTGTTTAAATCCAAGACATGCACAACTATTTGTGCGCTAAACATTCATATCAAACAAATCCATAACAAACATTCACCTTTATTTTTATTATTGTATATTCATGGGGAGTTTCCTAAAGTAATTATACAAAAACACGTTGTATTGAAATCAGGGGAAGCCCCCTCAAGGAACGGGTTTTTAGAGTTTTTGTGTTTGCTCTATAGTAAAAAGGTGAATGTAGGCTTTACAATCCCGTATCCAAGTTAGAGTATGTCTCTATTTAATGTATGGTTCTGCGCAAATATGCAACATAAATGTGTAGTGATTAGTGACAGAAAGTGCATTATGAGGTGACTTGACAAATATTTTCTTATAGTTTTAAACTAAAATTATATCATAATTATTTGAATCAATTTATTCTAAGAAACAGTTAAAATAAATTAGACGTAAGATTCTGCACTTGTTCATGTGCACAAATTACAAACAATATTCAATCATTCATTCATAAAATAAGCAAAGCAATAAACAACTAACGGTTAATATTGCTTAAAAATTACCAATAGGCGTTTTTTCTATTCAGTACTAGACATCTTATTTGATTTTAAACGTATTACTAAAACCTACATATTTTAGTAATATTAGGATTTGTTACTAATATGAGAATAGAATAAATGTAGTTAACACTTACGAGTATATAGAGTCAAATGAAATACTTTTTCCTGCCAAGCTTGTAGAGATGGCAGCACCAAAAAGTATGAATTATTATAGTTCTTAAAATAAAGTCAAAACTTATATCCTTTAATTTAAATATGTAGAAGTGGAAAATTTATAAGGTAAAAAATAAGGTATTTTGTACAAATAAAGTCAGTGCAATTTTTGGAGTGAGTTGAAGTAATGTTGGAAGTAAAAGGTGTCATATTGTAAATCCTTGTAATATGAATTGTCATTATGTTATAAGTGATAAGTGATGTGAAAGTGAAATTAATATGGGAAAGTACTAACTGGTTTCCTATACCGGCCTTTGGTTAGAGGTAAATTCTTATTCAAAAATTCTTATAAAACAGCCATTATCAAAAACGCATATTAGATATTGAAGGTTAGAGATCCATCTAATTTTTTTGTTAACATATTTTACTGTTTAAAATTATAATTTAGTTCAAAAAAAGAACGGTTCACTGAAGGTACTTTAATATTTAATCTTTAATAAGAGCACTACTATCGATCTCATTATTAAAAAGTATTATGGAGAGATAACATCTGTAACAACGCTCTTTGTTCTTGTAAAGAGTGGAGTTTGAACCGCTGCAGTTTCTCTTGGTACGTTCACGTACATGAAACTCTTACCAAAATATATTAATGAAAACCGCACTCAAATTGGTTAAGCCGTTTCTGAGATAAGCGCTCACAAACGTACAGACAAACCGACAGACAGACAAACATAAAAATTATTGTTTTGGGTTCTATTGCGTTAATAAAGACCTCCAATAATAGTTTTTCTCAAATATTTTCTATGTACAGATAGCGATCAGTTACAATTTTATTATATGTATAGATAATTAGATGTAATATCGTGGGCTCACTATTACAAGATTCTATGTTAATTTTAATAAAGTTTAGTAATTTTTACATAGAACTTAGTTATTTTGTCGTAAAAAAAACAACATAGAACTATGTAAAATTGAATATTTTGTAGTTATAGTGCCGCTATCTAGTGGTTTGTTTTTGCAAAACTGACACATAAAACCTTGTCGTATTAATAACTAAATAAATACTAAAATTGTAACATAGAACCTTGTAATTGTGAGCCAACGATATGTTTATAGAACTGTAACTTTAGTCTCTTTCTGTGACATACGGATAGACGGAAACAATAAAATTCTACGGTCTCAGTTTTTGAATTTTGCCTACGGAACTCTAAGGAAAACTACAGAATTACAAAAACTTGCATCATATTGAGAAAATCTACCGCACGATTCTGATAATTGGCTTTTGGTCGTCTGAACGCGGGCGGAGCCGCGGGCAATGCTTAGTGAAATTGTTATAAAACCCGGTTCACAAGCAGACGGATATTTTTTTAGTAATTAATAATAATAAGTCAAATGAACTAAATATATCCCTATATTGAGTTGTATAGTGTATACATAATTTTTTTAATACTCTACTTCATTTAACTCGTTGCCCGTTGATCTAGTGGCTAGCGTCTACGGCTGAAGGTCCAGAGGTCCTGGGCTCTGGTTTCATTTCGGGCCAATTAGAGCTGAGATTTAAACATCCCAAAGATGCGAAGTTGGTTATACGCCACCCCTGTGCCTATGAGAGCTCGTAAAACCGTTGGTCGCGTCGAATTGCCGTCCCACTGGAGTTGATAGGCAAAAGGAGAATACACGCGTGTTTGCTCATGTACTTTTGCATTATAATATCTCCTACGCACATGGTTTAACTCAGTGAGATTAACCGTGACTGAAATTGGCCAGGAGGATATTATTATTATGTTGCATATAGACAGACATCTTAATTTTATTTATAAATATAAATAACTATTTTTTCGTTCGAACTAAACTCTTCGAGTAATACACAATACATACACCATTCCAAAATTAAGTCGTTTACTTTTTGTGGTGTAGTTAATTAAATCTTGTAGGAAAATGTTAAAAATATTTTTTAAACTACGTAAATAATACGTATATATAACGTATTTTAATATTAAATTAACTCCATTTAATGCTGTACTGTACCTGTACCGCACTAAATTAACTTATTTTCTCATTTCTGAAGGGTTTCTGGAAGAAATCTCTTAAAGAGATAAGTTATGCTTTCTCAACATTTTGTTATTTTATTTTGTATATATTTAGAAAAACACTAATAGATAGTTCCCACGGGAACCGTTCATTTTTCCCGGATGAAAAGTAACCTGTTGTTTGACCGGCAATATAAGGTATCAGAAGGTTAAATTTTACTAAATTAGGTGCATAAGTTGCATAAGTTATTATAGTTTTTTAACTATCCCACAGGAACTATATAATTTTCCGGTATAAAAAGTATATAAGATGTTGCCCGGGGATATAAGGTACCACCATGCAAAATTTCATTTAAATCGGTCCAATGGATTTGAAGATTGGCCCGTACAAACAGACACAGAAACAAAAAAAATTGAAAAAAATCTGGATTTGTTCTATTTGTCTTCTTACATCCCCCTGACTCGGTCTCTCGGTTTCATTTTTTTGCTATGTACAGACATTCGACCTCTACAGTTTTATTATAGTATAGATAACATATATTTTATGGTACATAAATAAATAAATAAAAATAATAAATAAATAAATTTTACAGTAATAAATTGAAGTAATACATACATATAATAGGCGAAGTAATAGACAGCGTATACACGTAAGGCCCTATAAGGGATGTACCCGAGCGAAGCAAAGGTTTCGAGTTTCGACAGTAATTCGTAATTGCTGTTTAAGGGCGCACCGAGGCAAGTACGAAATAATGGTGTTCGTTTGATCCCTTGCTGTCTTGTTATTATTAATCTTTAATTATACAATTAATATGTAGGATATTTAAGGATTTATTCTATAAATAGTACTTTAAAAACACGATTACTTGTAGTTTCCTCGATAGAAAAAAATCCAAAATGATCTCTAAAAAACAAAATAACCCATTAGTGCGGAGTAAATAGTTCAAGGAAGTTCATCAGTTTTTTAATAATAACAAAACTATACGTTTTCTATATCTCTATACATTTTCAAAATGTCTATTTTTCTTAATAATACGAAGAAAATACCTAAATTCGCACGTGTTCTGTCCATCCTAGCACCCCCAACTCCCCACCCACTGTCGTCCTACTAAAATAAAAAGCTGGGTGCCCTCTCAAACACAACATCACGTGCTTTCAATATAATATAATATATTTTGTTTAAATTGTATTACAGTAATAAGAATATTATCATTAAACCATTAAATCAACAATAGGAGAAGGAAATAAAAGACAATATTATTTTTATATTGAGGTGTAAGTTTATTCGCATAACAATGTTTCATACAAATCGTCTTCGTCGTTTCACACCTTTTCATTTGTTTTGTAGTTATCTTTTATAAAAGTTGACTCTAAAATTTCAACATATCGTCTGTTCCCTATATCTAACTCGCTTCACCACTGTTAAATCATACATTAAGGATTCACTAAGGCAAAATATTAGGAGAGTAATAATATTTACTTTGGACAAATAAAATAAGAAAGGTTACAGAAAAAATTTCCATAAAATCGGAATGGGATCTTATCTTTTAAATCAGCCTTCCTGTATCATTCGCCGTGGCACTATAGCAATGGGGAGCAGAAAGCTACTTGTCGAAGCGTGCAGACCGATCGAACGTTTTACCAAATTTACAGACACACCCTATGTACCAAGCAAAGTTCTAT